CTGCACCGCTACAGCTTCGCCCGGAGATTTTAAGTGTTTCTCGGTTTCTGTTCCAGACAGCGGCAACGACGGCGTCTGCCGCGTGAGCACGGTCGGCACCGCGTCGGCGGTAAAAACGCGAAAAAGAGGACTCGGACGCTACCGACGCTTCATCGATTCGGATTTAATTTTCGTGAAAGCGGACACACGAGGCCGGCGAGGAAGCGCGGGGGGGGGGGCAGGGGGAGGGAAGCGCGAAGAGCGCTTGCGATCCGCAGAGCGATCCAGGCAGCCTGTGCGAAACCGGCTCTGCGAAGCCGGGCAAGCGAGGATCTATGGCCAGGGTACGTGACCGGATACGACAACTCGAAGATAGAAAAATGATCTATCGTCCAAGTTCGTCGGAGGTGCCGATAGGAAGATGGATGGCGCGGTAATGCTGTTTGCAGAGAGCTCCAATTCCTGTCGGATAATATAATTCGCAATCTCGCAACGTTGCCGCCGCGCCGCAAGTATCGCGACTCCGCACGGATTAATGGCACGCGGAGAAATGCGTATTGGCGACATGACAGCTCGGGGATATGATCGATGAACACGGCCCGCTAACAAGCCGAGAGAGCGATGCATTTTTGCGAAAACCCGACACGCCGAACCGCCGTGCTGCACGTAGCGGATGCGCAAAAACCGAATATAAGGCGAGCGGAGAGTGGCGGCGATGTCGTCGTGATGGTGCGCGGACTATCAAATTTAGATCGGCGTTGCGCAAAAGCACATAATCGTGATATCATTCGAGAAATGAGAACATTTGTGGAGAGAAACAGAGAGAGAGAGAGAGAGAGAGAGTAACATGGCGGCACAAACCCTGATAAGAGTCGTTATCAGCCGGTGTCTCTAGATACGGCACGATAATGCGACAAACGCGACACGTTATTCTCGCTCTTCGAAGGTAACAAATATTTACGTAATTCACTGCGGGCAAACCGCGTCCTCCTATAATCGTTCTCCGGGACAGAGAGAGGGAGGGAGAGAGGGAGGGAGAGAGAGAGAGAGAGAGAGAGAGAGAGAGAGAGAGAGAGAGAGAGAGAAAGATAGGTGAGCGCAGATAGGAATCGTTCCTGTCGACGAACAGAAATTAATTTCTATGTGTTTCCACGGGCCGGCGGGGTATTCGGATCGGAGATAAAGGAACCCTCGCGCGCTCGCGCGATCTTCAGGGTCCACGGCGACCCTTCTGTTAAACGAATTCCTCCCCAGAGCCGCACATATCACTTAAACCTCTTACTCGAGCCGTTAAACCGTTGCTTGAATCGCTAAGGAAACCGGCCAGCCCCGCGCCGTTAATTTGTCCGCTCGCGAGATCGCCCGACGATCTAAAACTCACGTTGTTTCGTTCACTGTGGGAACGGCGCGGGGAGGCGCGCGACGTGTATTATACACTCATCGGCGACAAATTGTTTATCCCGTTGTTAATACGCGTCGCTTATTAAAATATATGACGCGATGAAACACTGCTCATTGTGGTGATATATCACGGATGATGCCGTAAATTATATACGCGCGTCACGCGGCTACATCGCGGCTCATATTTACATGGCATAAAATTAAAATAAACATTGAGGCGCGCGCGCGCGCGCATCGGCGTATCATTCGTTCCGCGCGGTATTACGCGCAACGACAATATGTTACGCGCTTTCTATTTAACTGTGCCGCTCGGGCGAGATAAATTGGGCGGGTGGGCGGGTTAGGTGATTATATTGAAAAAATAAAAAAGGGAATTAAAAAAGAGATTTATCATTTCCAGGCCGCGCCCATTACTCTCGCGCGATTTAACAGATCGCGTTTATCCTTTTACAAGGTTCCGATATGTATAGAACACGAAGTAGAAATTCAGCGGAGCTTTTTTTTGCGGAAATTAATGAAACGCATTACTCATTCGGCAAAAAGCGAATAACGCAATGTTCACCGGCTACCGGCCGATATTTTAATGCGAACGCTTTTTTCCGCTCGTGCGTTCCTTCGTTTGCGTTTCGCGAACACTCGTTACTCGCAGGGGTCGAAACTACGAGTGTCTTCGACATTCGACATTTCCCCTGCCTGGACGACGACGTGTCGCCGATAGACGAACGTCTCCGGCGACTTCTTCCGAGAAGTCTTCCCTAATCGATAACTTACTATCTACCGAGCGTTAAACGGGCTAGGTTGATTGGAAAAAAGGAGAGGAGTACCAGCTTACACAAGCTTGTACAAGCAGATTTCGCAATTTCGCGGATCGCGTTCGGGCGCACGATGCGCGCCGCGTGGAAACTTCGGCGCGGCGTAACGGCGTAACTGGAGAGTTCTGGCACGAGGAATTCCGCCCTTCGAATCGCGCGTATTTTACATACGAGAGACGGGTACATATTTCAGCGATACCCGCCACTCCCCGCGGGGGGTAGATGAAGAGGAGAAGACTCGGGATCGGAGGTGAGAAGGAGAACGAGAGAGGTGAGGAACGACGCGCAATGTCGCGCCGAAGACCGAGCGAGATGATCCAACTCTGTCTCGCACATCGAGGAATGCCGGCGAGTTATTTTAGGCCTTTACTCCCTCCCCGTTCTACGGAGGCACGTTTACGCGACGTAACGAAATAATGAAGGAGGGCGCCCTTTGCCGCCGCGGCAAAACCCCCGCCCCCCGTTGTCTTTCGACGACGGGAAAGAATCTTCTCTCTTTCTGCGAGAACTCTGTCCCCAACCCACCTTTTTCTTCTCTTACTTTTTTTTATTCTCTTTCTCTCTCTCTCTCTCTCTTATTCCCTTTTATGATTCTTAAAAGAATACCAGGGCACGCTAGGGAAGAGGGAGGACTTTACGATGATGAAGAGCGTCGTGACATTTTTCCGCGCATAAATACTTTTTCCATTAGAAGGAGCATAGAGTAGAAACGTGAGTCTTGTTCTAGGAGCTTGCCTCTTTGTACCCGTAAACAGCCTTTTTAAAGCTGTGCTTATGAAAAAGTTACGGATTATCCGCGATGACGCGCTAGCAGCTCACATTTTTTGGAGCACTCATCGGCCGAGGAGGAGGACGCGAGATGCAATTAGTGAAACCGGATCCACCGCCGCGCTCTGTTTATTTTCGAGAAATCTTATCTTTCTTAATCAAGACGTTATCTTGAGAATTCTCGACTCGGGGGAGAAAGAGGAGGAGGAGGAGGAGGAGGAGGAGGAGGAGGAGGAGGAGGAGGAGAAAAAGGAGGAGGAGAAAAAGGAGAAGGTGCGTCTTCGAGCGAGCGTAACGTTTCTTATGTATCATGCTTCTCTAATATTATGCTTCCTCCGCCCTTCCGCTCGACTTCCCGTTACGAAGGCAGCCACTTGTATCGGATGCTCTCGTGGGACGTTTTTTCCATTATACCGGGAAGTATCTCATTCTCAGCTTTCGTGAACAATGAAATTATGGAAAAAAGAAGCGAACCACAAACGGCACCGCATAAGCGTTAAATTGCATTTTCCGGTCGTTCCCCGTCGCGGGGGATCAAGACAGCCCGGGGCGAGGGGAAGACGAGAGTTTCGAGTCGATGATTACTTAGAAAACGTCGGAACATCTTTTCAGCGGGCGCGAAAAATCTCTCTCTCTCTCTCTCTCTCTCTCTCTCTTTCGCTTGCTCTCTTTAGTTCGACCTGCAACAGTCGTTCCATTTGTTTTCTCTCTTTCTCTCCTTCTCCCTGCGTCTCGCAAAGGAAAGACTAATCGGTTACCGGGTGACTCGAGCTTCCATTCGCATTACAGATATTCCCGCCGGGCGTTGTTGCGAATCGAATCGAATCGCAAACGTATTTTCGAGCGATTCAAACTGAGCCGCGCCGGAAGAGCTACTTAATTACTCACGGTTACGCCCACACATTCGGCCGCGATATAGATCGAAGAGAGGCGCAGTGCTAAATTTATTATCAGCATACACGGAATGCTTGACGGTCGTCGTCTGTCAAGCGACACAATGCGTTAAGTAACAATTACCGGACACAAAAGCGACGACGCGTCTCGTCCTACCATTGCTACGGATACGGCAAGAAAGCTCTCGCCCACCTCCGCCGGCCGGTTAGCCACGGATAACGTTGATCGATGTTACCGCAGACCGCCCCTTTAATATGTTAATTAACCTTGAAACGGCAACACGCAGTGTTCCGTACGGCGTGTGTAAACAAGAGCAACGCAAACAAAACATTTTAACGGATCGCCGATGGCTCGCGAGATTTAACCATCCGGTGGATAATGCCGGAATCCGCGCAGCCTCTCTCTCTCTGTTGGCGATGCGAAATGAGCAATCGTAACATAGACGACCTACTTTCGAGTTAGCCGGGCTAATTATCCGGCGTGCGGCGTACGAGCGAGCGAACATTGTCGCGTTTTGTCGAACATTGTCGCGATTAACAACCTTCTTTCGGCGACAGTACCGCGGCCTATCACGGTTGTTGCTGAAAAGCTATACGCGTATACCTTCGCGAGGAAAATACGGGAATGCTAGCGAATGCACGCGCGCGCGCGCGCGCACGCGATGAAACGTATGATCCCTTCGGCTGTCGGATACACTCGCGGCGCGAAAGTACACACGAGAGAGCCAGGAAATCAGCGGGGTAGTGCTCTCCTTGGCGAGCGGTATAATGGCGCATTAATAACGACGTATTGCGATTTACAATGCAAATCGATAGCTTCGTGCTACAATTTACAGCGCAAAACCCATCGTGACTATGGTCGGCAGCGATAAAACAAGCCGGCGTTACAAGAGAAAGACAGACAGAGAGAGAGAGAGAGAGAGAGAGAGAGAGAGAGAGAGAGGCGCGCGCGCGCAAAGCGGCAGCATATTTCGCGTGAAACTTTTTTATCTGGCGTTAAAGTTTGCGCGAGAAATCACGCGCAAGGCGCAACCTCCGACTTAAAATGCGCAAGATATTTCCCTTCGTATGCATGCAAGGAATGTGTTTTTTCCTTTTCAAAGATAAATCCAGGTTTGTAGAGTAAAGACAACGAAAAAGCACTCACGTGTTTTCCTTTTGGTCGCCGTTGGCCGAGTGCGACGGGGACGGCTGGACCTGCTGCTTCGAATACGGATGGTGGTGGTGCACCACGTTGTTGTTATTGTTGTTGTTGTTGTTATGCATGTGCACCTTGTTGGCGTTGCTGTCGGTGGGTGAGCCCGGCGAGATTTTACCCGCCAGAGCGTTCAGCGACTGCAGCATTTTCATGGGAGTCCGCCTGGCGACCGGTTGTCGGTGCCTCCTTCGCTCGAGCTCGTTTATCCTTGAGGAAGACAGGATTATTGTGGACGCTTGGTGGTTTGAAGGCGTCAACCCTCAAACTCTACCGTACGTGGCGCGGAACAGGCAGGCTAACACACACACCTCTCTTTCTCTAAAGCGTGTACGGTCTCTCGCGTGGGCCGCGAGACGACGAACACACACACACACACACACGGCGGCGCACTTTTTGCCCTTCTCGCCCTTCGTTTTCGCTTTCGTTTTCTCCTGCGGCGATTCGTTCGCGACGGGCTCCGATCCGAGACCACCCCTCGGGATCTCAGCACAAGGGAACGCCGAGGAAGCGCACACTCATCGCACGTGGACTTAAAGCGCGCCAAAGCGACGATGCTAAAACGGCACGGCCGGTAGAAGCACGCTCCCGTGCTGAAGAAGAAGAGCCTCGATTCTCGCTCGACGGCGCCGATTCCTGCCGGCGATCGATCCGACTGTTCGTTCGTTCGTTCGCTCGTTTCGTATAACTTTAGATCGTTAGGCGGGTGTCTCGGAGCGTCGTATTAGGAGATCCCCGCTGCGACACGCTCCCAGCTGTAGATGCGAATACGAAGCCCTGTGGACAAGTACCGGTGGCTGATAAGAGTCTTATCTATTCACGGAATCGATTGGTTATCGAAATACGCGCGTCACTCCATTTAATCGAGTGCAATTTCGACTCACGCGTTCGCTCGCGATCGCAGGCTCGCGCGAGCGCGACAGACAGACGGAGGGAAAGGGAGAGACAGAGCGGGGGAACAGGTAGCTCGCCCGCTCGACGAACTAATTATTACGACAACAAATATGACAAAATAATCACCGATACGCGTCGCGTGTGTGCACACTGCGTATAGCTATTTCTGCTCCCCCTTGATATATCTCGCTTCCCCGAGCTCGTTTATCTCCGCACGCATGGCAACGTCGATCTATCCGCAGCTGCGATATACCGTGCGTGACCACCTCCCTCGGATGAGCCGCTCTCGCGGCTCGCCATCGGCTGCGCGAGTTGGACTCGCGTTCGTAATTTCGGCGAGCGCAGGACGTGTAAAATATACGGCGAGGACAAGGGAAACGCGGAAACGGAAAGCCGAGTCGGGGGATATATATGCGTGCAGGGAGGAACGACACCGTGAAGAGGGAAACTGGCTGAGCAGGCGGGCGGGCGCGTGCGGAGGCCTCTTACGAGAGAAACTGCTTTGCAACGAGTCAATTAAAAGTTTAAGTTTAATTAGAAACTCGTACACGCGCGCGCACTGGGAAAGAGGCGCTCGGTCGGATCGCCGGCCGATTTTCTTCCTTCTGTACGCCGCGCACCCTCTTTGTCGCCACCCCCCGTCGAGGCGTCGTTCGCTTATGTCTTCCACCATCTGCGTAGCTGCCGACGAGCTGCCCGAGAGTTCACCCTCCGCGCGAGTTCCCTTTGTTCCTCGAGCGCGCATCCCGCGCCTCGAATCGCAGAGATACAAGCGGCGCGCTCCCGAGAAACCGAGGAGGTGAGAACTCGCGCGCCGGGAAGAAACTGACGCAGCTTCGGCGGAGCGATACGCGCGGGGGTGGATCCGTCGCCGGGGAATTCGAATGAGTTTCCGGCTCTGCGAGCGCGAAGGAGCACGTCGACTCGCCGGCCGACTCGCCGGTACAGCAGGTCCTGAACTTCGGAGCCGGGAGACGGACGGGGAGGGGGGGGGGCGGGGGGTGTCGAAGGGAATTTCGAAATCCCCAAACGCGGCGGATGGATCTTTTATGCTTCGTGCACTGGGGCTATGTCAGCTACGAGCGACCTGACGATCGCGAATATCTTCGAGTTGGTAAGAGACGACCGACGTTTTCAGATTTAATTTCGAGAGTGGACTGCATTCTGTTTGCTCGAGCTACTGCGCGACAACTCGCCGGTACAAATATAGCCGGTGCCCTGATTTTTCGGTCACCGATACTGCCGATCTGCAATATGATTATACCGCGACGTCCGCGTATATTTAGAACAGAAACAACTGTAAAATAAGGATAGAGTACAAGTAATTGTGTCCAATTGTGTGTCGGAACTCCATCTCTAATAATCTCATTCGGAGTATGCTCGCCATGTCATTGTGAATCATTGAACGCGAATGCAAAAATCAATTCGCTACGTTCTCATCATCACTGGTCGGTACTTTTCGAAAAGTTGACGCGTCTACCATTCAAAACTCATGTGAGTCACGCAAACAGTACGTTCATATGTGTAAAGAATGCTGGGGCTGTGAACGCGTTAAGATTCCGTCAGAATGTACATATATCCCGTATTAGTCACCGGCTGTATGAGATCAACGAGATCAAGAAAGGATTTTACCGGCGATTATACGGAAAAAAACCTTCGAAAGGGGGACAGAAAGTGTGAGAGAGAGAGAGAGAGAGAGAGAGAGAGAGAGAGGGGAGGGGGAAGAAGAAGTGATTCATAGTGCATATCCGTCGATTTCAAGGAAGATTCATCGCTCCTTGCGAAATCGACAAGCGAGAACCGAACGGGTTTTATTCGCGAATCTGCCAGCGTGCAACGAAGAACGAAAGGGAAGTCGAGCGGACGCGAAGGGATGTAAGAACCTCGCGGCGAGAAGAAGGGATCCCGACCGGCCGTGGATTACGTTTGAAGGTCCGCCGAGGGCAAAAAGACGAGGGGCGCAGGAAAGCCGCCAGCTTGCAAGGAGAAAGCAAGCGCGAGGCGAGAGGAGCGCACACTCGCGGCAAGGATGGAGCTGTAATTACCGGAACTGCAGTGGTGTTGTCAAATGTCAAAGAGGTCGCGCATAATTTAACACGTGAGACGGAAGCCGTACAAAGCGCAGGGTTACAGCGAGCGGGAAAGATAGAGGGGAAATGAAGGAGACGCGGAGCGATGTTCGCGGCTTGCGAGAAGCGAGAGGCGGAGAGAGGGAGAGAACAAGAAAGGGAGGAGAGAGAGAGAGAGAGAGAGAGAGAGCGACGATAGGGTGAGAAGAAAATACAAGAGAGAGAGAGAGAGAGAGAGAGAGAGAGAGAGAGAGAGCGACGATAGGGTGAGAAGAAAATACAAGAGAGAGAGAGAGAGAGAGAGAGAGAGAGAGAGAGAGAGAGAGAGAGAGAGAGAGAGAGAGAGGAAGAGAAAGTGTATCTTGATATGCTACCTAAGCCTTTTGTCCGGTACACATTTTCGCCTCTCCGTCTCCCCCTCGACTCTCCCTCCTCTCACTATTCCTACTCGCTCTCCCCCGCCACCTTCGCCGCTGCCTTCTGCCAACAGCCTGGATACACGTCGACGCTCTTTGTTGCCGGCCACTTGACGCGCTAAAGCGTCAAATTAAAAACTCGAGACACGCGCTGGAAAGGCCGATTAGTACTCTCGCGGCGGCAACGACGGCGACAGCGACGGTGACGGCGGCGATTGCCCGTTATCGTTCTCTCGCTCTACTTTACGACGGCGCGTTTACCCCGGTCGCCTTCGCGCTCACCAAGATCGTGTACTTCCCGTACCTTGTGGAGGACCCTCTCGGGGACTCCCGCGATATCGCACACCGGGCGCCTGATCCGGAAAATGCGAAATTCTCAAGACACTTCCTCAATGGTGTTTGCTGCTGCTGCTGCTGCTGCCGTCGCTGTTCACGAATGACGCGCGAATCACGATATCACTGCGACCTGAGTGACGTAACGATCTCGTCGACGACACCTGAGCACTACGACTGACGACGGCTCGGCGACGAGCGCAGTTGTCGGCCATCGTATCTCCGGATAAGCCTTATCGGTGCCCGCAGACCCCACCCTTCGTCCGTGGGCCGCATCCCTCGCGTACTCTTTTTTTTTTTACGACACTCGCGTACGTTCCTGCTGCACTACGTCGTCGAGACGCGTGACTTTCGTCCGCGTTCGCGCAATTTTCTCGTTACCGGTTCCGTGCACGCGCGTTTCTCTCTCTCTCTCTCTCCTTCTCTCTCCCCAGTCTCTCTTTTTATTATGATCGCCCGAATGCACCTACATCGGGCACGTTGCTCGAGTCGCCGGGACCGTTGCCAGAACGAAGAGGCTGGGCAAGTCTGTCTCTCTTTTCCTTCCACTCTCTTTCGAGCGGCACGCGAATCGTTCACGCGCGATCCAGACGCGCCATGGTGCGGCCGGCTGACCGGCGTTTTGGAGGCAAGAGTCGCGTTAAAGGGCGCGTTTCTCGCTGTGTCCCACGGTGGCGAGTGCGCGCATTTCCTCTCCCATGTAGTATCGCTTATGGCCCATGAAGGAAGGAAGGAAGGAAGCCGACGAGATGCCGCGCGTCGGTTTTACGACGTCGCCATGTCGGCCGTCATCTGCAAAGAACGGTCAGCTGTTAAGCGTCTGCCGGCGCGCGAGGAACGTAAGTTGAAGTCGTCCAGAAATCGGGATTATCAGTCTGCGTCGAGATTATCAGGAGGCCTGCTGCGATCGATCCGACACGACCTCGTGCGCGCGGAGGAATTTTATTCTCTTCTGCTCCGTCCGAGAGACCGAGGTTAAAGCTCGTGTATCAAGCGAGAGATAAAGAGAGCCGCGCTACACGAGATTGGCCGATCGGAAATCAGTGGATGAGTTGCGCGCAATTAGCACTATGGGTGTGCACCTCGGCTACGTGCGATTTTACGTGTGTGAAGGAATTCACGAGGCGGCAACACGGAGCGGACGTGCGACCTAAAAGGGCCCTAACAGCGTGGGCTAAGAGCGAAGGAATGTTCGTCAATATTTTCTCACTACCGAAGCGATGAAGCAGACACCGCGCGAACGTCGTTGCCGGAGATTAGATAAGGCTCGGAACGCTCCGTTGCTGCAGTGACTTGCACAACGACGTCATCGTCGACCATGACGATGACGACGACGACGACGACGACGCGAGACTGCCCTTGGGAAGACGCGGCCGCTGCTATAGTCGCTGTCGAACGGCGGTGAAGCGTTGCTGCAGTATTCGTGAATGCAACGGCACGAGAGATGTTTGACGTTTATTGCATAAGTACGCGGCCGACAATGGGCGCGTCAAACCAC